CTTAGAAAATCCAATTTTTCAAAGAAATATGGAAGTTGAGTTTTTATCATAGAAAGATGCAGCGAAGCTTCCTCTTTCAGAATATGTATGGCTTTTTGGAAAATGATCAGATTTTCAAAGACTTATCACATGAAACTTGGAGCCTACCACCATATTTTCCGAGAAATTTTCGTGGTTTTTAAAGGTATTCAGTTTTGGAAAAATGTGTTGCCACTTACATTAGCATTGAGTAGAACATTTTTATATTACCCGGCATGACAGATGACGCTAGCTTACTGCATCTGTTACGCGCTTTAAAAAGTCCTAGGAAGTATATTGGAAATATGCCATTTAAATGAAAACAATCGACTTGTAAAACTTCTTTAGCGTTTTTCTCAGAACATAGTTTCCAATCAGAAAAATTGGAACTCCTCCCTCATTTCTCGAGCTGTAACCAATATATTTTTTTTATTTTAAAGGTCTTAATAAGAGTAAACTTTTCGTCAGCCAGTTTTTTTAAAGTCGATTCCTGGCCTGAGAAAAATGGAATTTACTGTCGTCGAATCACCGTTTTTTATGCTTCTTTTAAGACATGTCTACTAAAATACTCATAAAAAATGAACAATAGGGAATTTAAAAATTCTGGTTGATGAAAAGCTGCATACTGACATTGGTTTTTATTTGAAACCACGCCGAGCTCTATACTTTGTGTCGCGACGAAATTATACCGATTCTGCTGAAGGCCAAAAATGACCTATGAATCAGCTGGAAATCCGGTCTAGTACGACCTATAGTTCTGAAATTTTTACCAGAAGCGTTTCTCACCAGGTTAAGTTATCCCTGAAAACTTCAGCCCAAAAAGACCATTCTAAGTGAGAAATCATTTCTAGGGGGTGGAATAGGGGGCGAGGGGGGGTCTTAACGGATGCAATTTTTCACGCGGCATCAAAGGAGTATATTTTGAAACGTCTGAGGTAGCAAAAATAATCGGAAAAGCTAATTTTAGTGAAAAATCGAAGGTTTTTCTTTCACATAAAAGAAAGGGTTTTCTTTAACATTTTTTTCCGATTTTCCAACTAGTTTTTTGAATTTATCTCAAAAAGATGGCTCAAAATTTTTTCAATATCTATAGCTTTGTAGAGCTCGTCGAGCTCTATTGAACTATTAAAAATTTCCAAGAAAAAAGTTTTACTCCATTTTTGAATCATTGGCAACTTAATTTTCTACGCCGAAAAAGCATAAAATTTCTGAAAATTTCGTAAGTTCAACATTAAAATGCCTTCAAAAACTTTACTTTTTAGTACCAATAAATCCAGTTTTTGACGCGCTTTAATTTGGTATAAAATACATTTGTGATATCATTGATAATTTAGGTTATAGAAGGGGGCGCAAATGTTATTTGACACCCTGTAGAATATGCACACTTACACCCTACTGGTTGGAAACCAGCTCAGACAAAAGCATTACAAATAGGAGTATCCAGCCCATTTATACTTAGTGGTTTAAATTCAAGCTTTTTTAGTCTTAAGATTCATGACTCCTTAATAAATGACTTTACTTAGCCAAGGCATCTGCAACTAAGTATGGTCGAAAGGTAAACATTGATCATCGTGAACATAGTTCAGTTGGATCTTCTGAACCATTGTTGTGACTTTCTAGTTTATTGGATTTTGTTTCAGAGTAACTACTAAATTAAAGAAGGCTCCTAAAGAACTCTTTTACAGATGTATAGAATCTTTCAAAACAGACATTGGATACTTAGTACAATACTTAGTACTTTTCGTACGTAGTACGTGGAAATCTTAAGTACCAGTACGTTTTTTGAAGTAAAAGTACATGTACTTTTTACTTAAGATTTGTACTTTGTACTTTTACTTAAGTACAATGTACTTAAGTACATTGTACTAAGTACACCGTACTACAGTACAATTGTACTTAGTACCGGTACTAAGTACAAATGTACTTAGTACCGATGCTCTCTGTCTACCCTTTTCGAGAACGTTACTTGGTGGGTTTCTCATTTTGATTACTTTTTCGTTTCATAAGATTATACGGGTTTCTTCTCTGCAAAAAGAAGAGATGTTATAGGAATGATTTTTTTCCATTGCTTCGTGAACCATTCTTAGTCGCAGGAATTCGTATGAAAACTGAAGAAAAATTCAGTCGAAATGCTTGGAACATTTTTCCAGTTCTCATCGTACTGGCTAGAACTGAAAAAAACTGGAGAAAAAAGTATCTAAAGTCGGACCCACAAAGACTTCTATATATAGCATTTTTACTTTTTAGAGCTATCTGCTTTACATTCTAGTGGTCTTAACCTAACCTCAACCTAAACAAAAAACTGTCAGTACAATCTCTTCAATGCTCAAACGTGCAGTGCACATGTCTTTTGTTACTTCACTAGCTAATAAAAAGTAGTTAGATATATAAAATCTTCGACAGTTGACAGGTCTTTTACAGTGATGATCGATTTTAGCAAACTCTGTCTTATTTATTTCTAAATGTCGAATACAACATGTGTTTTCTACTATTTTGCGGGCACCCTAGCTTTTATTTCCATTGTTGCTATTTGCTCCTCATTACCTGTAGTTTCTATTTTGTTTCTTTTAATTCAGTATAATTATTATAAACATTTAACGCAGTGAGCAACGAAGCTCTTGTAAATATTCATTCCTTATTACTGATGGAACTTCGTTCTTTTTTTGCATGTTAATCTATTTTAATTTTAATTATTTTATTTTTAATCAGTTCTTCACTTGAACCACAGCGCCCTCGTCCGGACACTGAACACTGTGTGTAAATTACACCAATCAGCGTATAGATTTAATCAATAAAAGAAATGCCCACTTTCATTTTTATTTCTTTTTAATTGTGTTTTTCTTTTCTTATTTCAGATTGTATTAGGGCATGAATTTTATCTACAATAAATAGAGGTTATTTATTATCCTTTAAAATTTTATTGCAATTATTTTATATTTTTCCGTTTTTGTTTATGTTATATCATTTTGTTCTCGTTTTATTGTACTTCATTTCATCCTGTTTATTTATTTTGTCATTTTTTAAAAATCTTATTTTATTTTACTATTTATGTTATTATTTATCTTTTGGTAATTTATTTTATCTTTACCCAAACCTTTTACTTCTTTTATTTATTTAATTCATTTTGTTATATTTTATTGTAAATATTGTTCATTTTATTTTGCATTAAATAGAAAGTTAAAATGAAGTAGATTTATATTTGTTTCTCTGTAAGATTCTTCTCTATAATATTTTACTGCAATCGTGGATCACCAACAGTAGAAGAGAGATCTATACGTAGATTAAAACTTTTATTAGCTTGAAAAATATCACCGGTTGCAAAACACTACATTTTTAGAAGAAGAAATTAACAAGTTTGAATTTAACAGAAAACCAACAATAAAATCTGACAAGAATAGATCATATATATGACAAATACAATAGAAACAATTTATAACAACTTTTGATTGACACGTAAAAAAACCAAATCTCGAAATAAATGTTCGTTCATGTTTGTTCTTCTTTGCGACAATATCAGTCCTGCATGTGAGAATGCACGTTCAATTGGTGCTGACGATGCTTGCACTGAAAATACACGCATAATCAACTTTTTAAGAATATTCAATTGAGAATGAAACCAGTAATCGGAAAATTTCGTGCGTACTGGATCGTTTAAATAAGCATTTAATTCAACTGTTGGATCAAGTGTTGTTGATTCATTCGAATCATCCATATTACTATCATCGTAATTAAATAATTTTCGACGTTTGGCTTTTGGTGTTGAAGTAAAGGATGTTGTTGCTAAAGACGAACTAACTTGATTTAAATCATTTGTCGATTTTTTTGAATCTTTGGTCATTTCGTCAATGATCAGTTGAATTATATTTTGTTTTAGCCGATTTTCCATATGAACCGGCAGTTTTAAATCACGAACCCAGTAAAATTTGAAACAAGGGTCCAAAACAGCAGCAATAAAATATAATGTATCACCATAAGGATTATTTTCGGCAACATCAACTAAATTTAACCGATTGATAATACCAGAAAATCGTGTGTTAATAGATGCTTCAAGCTGTTCGACGAGTTTTGAACAGAATGAAATACCTTCTTTAATATCACGAAGATGACTAATTAAATGTACGATCGATGGAACAACTAAACTAACAGTAACAGCAGCTTCTGCTTGACATTTAATCGTAATTTCATAAAATGGTTCAAGAATATGAATTATTTCTTCTAAAAGAGTTAAATCATTGCTAGAAAATGTAACCGGATTATCCATCATCGATGTAATTAATTCAAGTTCATTTTTACCAATAGAATAGATGGATTTTATTAATAAATATTCACTGTTCCACCGAGTAAGATTCATTTTGTGAATATTTTTATTCAATTGCTCAAGTAAGTCGGCCATTTTCGATGACTTATGCGAAAATTTAGCCAGTAATTGACACTTTCCAAGTACTTTAGGTATATAAGGAACATTTTTTAATCCATAACGAATACATAATTGTAACGTATGCACGAAGCACGATAAACGCACATTGTAAAAATGATCATAATCTATAATATCTTCATCAGAATGTTGAATATCAATAAAATGAAAATTATTGATGTCGAAATCTTCTAAAAATACAAAAGCATGTTTCAAGTAAATACTATGTATGAAAGATTATAAATGAAAAGATGATATATAAAGTAAAAAATGTAGATGATATTTTTCATTGTATTTACGAGCTTTCGATACAACTTGTATCATTGTCAGGCAACAATAAGAAGATTATACAAGAAAGATCTATATATATATATATATGTCGTGCCGAAGTTACACTTCTTGCCGAAGTTACACTTCTTGCCGAAGTTA